TCTTGGTTGACAATTTTTTTTTAACCTTTGGGCAGTTTGAATATGTTTGAGTATTCTCACCGTGTTGTGGCCTTCTGTCTGCTGGGAAGGCAGCTGTTCACCTATTGAGTCACTTTTCTCATGTAGCTTTTAAGATTGTGTCCTTATCTTTTTATTTTTTACAATGATGTATCTGTCTGTGGGTCTGCCACTTGGAGTTAAGTTCATTCCTGGATGTGTAGGGTTTTTTGTTGTTGTTTAATAAGTTTGGTACATTGTCAGCCATTATTTCTTTCTATATGTTTTCTGCTCTCTCCTTTGTGGTTTCCATCATACACATATGTCTGTGCACTTACTGGTATCCAACACTTCTCTGAGGCTCTCTTCATTTTTTTCTCTCTCTGTTCTTCAGCTTGCAGTGTCTATGTCAGTCTGCCTTCAAGGTTGCCACCGATTCATATCTACCATTGAGCCCTTCTAGTGACTTTTTTGTTGTTATAGTCCACTTCAGAATGTCCATTTCTACCTCTTTGTTGATAGTCTGTTTGAAGCAACACTGGCCTATCTTTCATCTTTATTTGTTGTTTCTTTCACTCTTGAACTTGTTTACAATGGCTACTTTGTGTCTGGTTTTGATTTTGTCCTTTTTATTTTTTACAATGACGTGTCTGCCTGTGGGTCTGCTACTTGGAGTTAAGTTCATTCCTGGATGTGTACGGTTTTTTGTTGTTGTTTAATAAGTTTGGTACATTTTCAGCCATTATTTCTTCATATATGAAGCACTTCTTCTGGGCACTTGCAGGAAGCTTCTTTTGCCTGCTTTTATTCCAGTGTATGGGTCTACTTACTTGTTTCTTTGCATGCTTCATAATTTTTTTGTATGCTCCTGGACATTTTAGATAACATGTAGCAATTCTGGGTACTGTCTCCCACCCCACCTTGTTATTGTTAATTTGCTTGTTTCTTTGTTTAGCATCTGGGGGATTATTTTAATGATGTCTGTTTCCCTGTCACAGTGTTCAGCCTCTGGTGTTACTGGGGGGGCATGGGTGGAAGGGATGGCACCCGGCTCTGGGAGTGCCAACAGCCACCCTGGGATGACAGTGGTTTTGGTGGGGCTCTTCTCTTTCCCTGCCCATGCCCCACTGTTAAACTTCAGCAGTTCCAGTTTATAGTGCTTTCTCAGCAACAGCCCGGACGTAAATTGCTCTACAGGCTAATCCAATCAAATGGCAGCATCTTTGAAGGAATGGTTTCTAAGGTGGGTGTTTGGTTGGTTGTTCTGACCCCAAGGGCTCCTCCCCACTGCGTTGGTCTCTGGTTCTCTCCTGCTGCCAGCTGCCTCTCATCGTGACTGCCACCGTTCGAGAGGCCCCTGAGGCTGGAACTTCTCCACATTCTGCCACAGATGAACTCAGTGTCTTTGGGGTGACATTGAGAGCTCTCCGTTTTTTATTGCCTGCCTCTCTTCCCAGGTGAACCTCAGAGCCAGGGTTCTGCAGCTGGAGACAGTGACAGGCTTCTCTCCGAGTGACACTCCTGCCATGCAGCAAGTGCTCACTGGGCAGGGGCAGGCAGCAGGGTGAGGTCCCCTCCACTTGCCTCTCCTGGCCTGAGACCACCCCTCACAAGCAGACAGGGTAATGGGGCCCCAGGCTTCTTAGGGGACTGTGTCCAGGTGTGGCCTCCATTCTAGGGTCTGGGCAGGGACTTAGTCTCAGCAATGGGAGCATGAGGGCAGAATGAGAAAAGCTGTCCCTGCTTCTCCTGGGAAGAAAGCCCTCTGATGGGAGCCGGGTGAGGGGCCCTGTGTTCCCGCCCGCAGCAGAGCAGACCCAATCCCAGACTCTCGCCACCCTCGCTGCAGTGGTGTGCGTGTCCTTGGGCAGGTGTCTCTTCCTTGCTGATCGCCACAGGACTGTTTCCAGGACTCTATGAGTGATGTCTTGATGTGTCTCGTTACTTTCACTGGGCGGAGGGTCAGCCAAGGTCCGGGCTGCCATACTGATGTCAGCCTCCACCGGTGCTTCTTGAGAAAACATGTCTGCCTCTGACGTCCCAGTTTTTAAACAGTCTCCTTGCAGCGAGGAGACACATGAGAGTGTCTCTTGTGTTTTGGATTATCTATGTGGAAGCGGTCCACAGTGTCTAGCGGGCAGCAGAGACTCTGGGAGTGAGACTGGGATACATCCTGATGTGTGGGAGCTGCCCACAGTGAAATGGAGGCTGAACTGCTCTGTATTTTGACTCTTGCAAATCCAGAGTGGACGACAAGCAGCTCTAGTGCCTGGAACAGCCAGGCAGCCCAGACCACGGGGTGGGTCTCAGCAGAGGAACCTGGAGACTGGGTTTTCACAAGCCTCCCCAAAGGGCCTGCTGCCCCCTAAAGGTTTCAGAGTCGCTCTGCAGAGATCCCACACCTCCACAGTCATGGCTGGAGTGGATCCTGGGTGTGAAACCCACAGGCAGCTGGGCAACTCCTGCAGGCAGCTTTTGGGGGCCCTGTCCAGGGCGAGCTGTGCTGAGAGAGCAGGGACTTTGAGGCCAGACGTGACTGCATAACTCCGAGCAAGTTCCTCACCCATGGCGTCCTCGTGGGAAGTGGGGTACAGATTCCCCAGAGCTGCTCAAGCAACAAGCCCAGTGCCTGTACCCCCACCAGGACACCAGGAGCTGCTGTTCCCCCAGGAGCATGCTTCGGGAGGGCTCGCAGCAGGAAGGACAGGGTCGGATCATCACTGGCTTCCTAGGATGAGGTGTCTGTTCCCTGCTGTCCAGGTGGCGGTGTGTTAGGGAGGGCAGTAGGGTTTTGTTGAGAGGGCTGTTTGTGGCACCTCCTGGCAAGTTGTCTAACCTCTTGACTCAGTTTCTTCGGTGTAACTGACCGCAACTGTTCGGGCTCAGCAGGCACTTCGCAGCCCGTGAGCACCTGTGTGTGGCCGGCCGGTACCTCTCCTGCTGCAGGTTGCTGTGTCTTCTTCTCCCTCCTGTTTAAAGTGCACCCTCCAGCTGGCACACTGTCACAGAGCCTGGAGCCACCTCCAGGGACTTCTGGAACCGTTGCAGGCTCCAGGCTGGTGGCAGGGCTAGATGGTTTCTAAACTATCTCATCTTACTTTTGCCTTCCTTCTATTGCCGGAAGCAGAGCGCCCTTCCTCTTTTCCCCTCTGGACCCCAGATCTAGGGTCCAACAGAC